ATTAGAAAGTTCATATCATTACATTTTTGCTTGTAGTTTTCCTTACAGTAAAAACAGATAACAGTGGAACCTTTAAAACAGCGGGGCACGTAGGCCTCCATAAATGTGGAACATTGTGAGAACATTGAGTGCAGTTAGTATTGTTCTGTCTACTGCGATGGGCTCATAAGTATGTATCATTGTATCATGGCCCTTCTGGCCCTGTTGGTGTAGTGCGTTGGGTTTCTGGGTGTATGCATCGGTCTAGGTCGGTGTGGTGTATTGTCTTTAATATTGTCTGTATGCGTGTGATCGGTCTTCTTCTGTTCGGTCTCTGTTAGTGCAGGGAATGTTGTGTGGTAAGTGAGGGTTGAGTGTGTTTTGTGGCATTCATGTTTATTGCAGTGTGGGTGTGTGGCAGCGGGACCTTAAGTCTAACAGGGTTCGTGGATTCACAGGGGTAGGGAAGGTAGTGAGATCAATGAGCTCATGAACCAAACATTTCAGGGGACATCCCTTGCTGGCTATTACTGAGTATTTTATTGTAGTGGTTATTACTTCTGAGTTCTGAGCCTTGCTGTTATCAATTACTGCTACTGACCGGATGTGGTGTCCGACATATTTCGTTCGGAGCGCCACAAGTGTACAATACATGTGGGCTGCTGTCTGGAAGATTGGTTCGTCGATCTCCTTCGATGGTGTGGGGTTGGTTTCTGAGTGCAACTGCGTGGTAGAGCATTTGAAGTGTGTGTGGTTTAGGTGTTTGTGAGGGTTGGGCTGTGCTGTCGCGTGTGTAGTTGAATGTGCTGAGGTATGGTGGGGAAGGCGTGAGTGTGAGTGTGCTAGGTGGTCAAGGTGTGTTGGGGGTGGCTCCGTCCACTCATACCCCACCCCCATCGGCCGCGCCCCCCCGGTCTCGTCTTGCTATGTATATTATCCATGGTTGCCATTTGTCTACATGCTTTGGGAGGGTTTCTGTCAGGGTTGCGTGCATTTTTTCTGCAGCTCTGATTTCTTCTACTCTGGTTAGCCAGTGTTCCATTGTGGGGGCTTGAGTTTGTTTCCAGAGGGTGGGGATTAATGCCTTGGCCGCGTCAAGGAGGTGGCATAGGATTGATCTCTTGTATTTAGCGATCGGGTCTTGTGTATGGTGGAAGAGTATAGTTTCTATCGACAGTCGTGTCGTATCTCCTAGGACATCTTTGATGCGAATTATAATCTGGTTCCAGTATGGTTTGATTTTGGCGCATTCCCACCAAATGTGTTTCACTGTGCCCACCTCCGTCTTGCACCTCCAGCATGTCAGTGGGGTGTTGGGGAATATTTTGTGTAGAAGATCCGGGGTTCTGTACCAGAACATTAGTAATTTGTAATTCATTTCTTGATAGGACGAGCTGATTGAGGATTTGTGGTGGAGGATCTGAATTTTGTCCCATTGTGCGTCTGTAAACGTCCTGTCCAGGAGGAGTTCCCATTTTCTTTTATATGGCGGCATGGTATTTTGGCTGTTCATCATTAGGTGTTGGTATAGGGTTGAGGTTGGTTTCTGAATGCTCGTTTTTTGTTCGCAGAGCTCTTCAAACCACGTAAGGGTTCTGTGTACTGAGGCTTTATTCGATAGCGTCTGATAAAAATGTGTCAGTTGGGCATATCTGTATCTGTGCATGGGGGTCGGTGTGCCTTCCATCAGTTGCTCTAGAGGTTTCAGTCCGGTGGCTGTCAGTGTTCTGTGGATGGGGATGAAGTCTTCTCCCTCTAAGAATCTCCATGCGTTTGCCGGTAGTCCTCCCCCTAAAAGCAGGTTGTCCATTAGGGTGATCAGTGGGCTAGGCATGGGGGAGATATTTGCTGGGTTCCGTAGTTTCAACCATGTCTGGAGAGCTTGATTCGTTAGGGAGAGTTTGTGTAGGTCGCCTCTCTTTGTCTGTATTGTGTTCCATACTGAGGCGAAGATGGATGGGCCGTCGGGCGTGGTGCTATCTAGCGACACCCATTGTTTGTGTCGTGGGTTAGTGTGCCATTCTAGGATTCTCTGTAGGGTTGTTGCGTGATGATATTTCCGCAGGTCTGGGAGTGCCAATCCTCCATTTCTTCTGGGCAGGCAGAGGAACTGATATCGCAGTCGCGGTCTGCGTCCATTCCAGATGTATGTCAGGAATGCAGCTTTTAAGGAGGCAAAGAATGCCGTCGGTATCGATAGGGGGATCGTGTGGAATAGGTATAGTATTCTGGGTAGTATATTCATTTTGGACACCGCTATGCAGCCTAGCCATGAGATGTGTGGGTAATTCCAGGACCGCAGGTCGTGTTGAATGCGAGTAAGGAGAGGGACAAAGTTAGCTTGACAGAGGAAGCTCGCGTCTGTTGTCACCCAGATCCCTAGGTATTTCATCTGGAATGGACACCACCAAAATGGGAAGCCCGATGCGACTGCCCTATGACCTCTCAACGGGTCGATTATATTAAGGAGTTCACATTTGCTTAGGTTGAGCTTGAGGCCCGAGAGAGCGCCGTAATCTGAAGTTCCTTCAGTAGACAGGTTAGGTTTATTCCTGGTTGTGTGATAAAGAATAGCATGTCGTCCGCGTATGCGGTGACTTTGTGGGTTGCGGTCTTCCACGTGAATCCCTGGATGTTGTTGTTTTGTCTGATCGCTTCCAGCAGGGGTTCTAGCGTGAGCGCGAATAGGAGCGGGGATAAGGGACACCCTTGTCTGGTGCCATTTCGGATCGGGAAAGATTCTGTTAGGGATCCATTAACTCGTATTGTAGCCGTCGGTTTGGTGTAGATAGCCCCGATCCAGGCCAGTATGGCGTCGGTGAATCCTATGAGGCGCAGTACTGTTGTCATAAACGACCAATCCACTCGGTTGAACGCCTTTTCGGCGTCGGTAGAGAGTAGAAGGAGTGGCGTTTTATTTCGTCTTGCTAGGTGTTGTATGACGAAAATCCTTAGGGTGCTGTCCCGGGCCTCTCTTCCCGGTATAAATCCTGTTTGGTCAGGGTGTACCAGTGTTGGCATCAGCGCGCCTATTCTGGTAGCCAGGATTTTAGTGAAGAGTATCGTGTCTATGTTCAATAAGGAGATTGGTCTGTATCTGCTGCAAGTCTCTGGGTCTTTTCCTGGCTTTGGGATTACGGTTATCGTAGCTGCTAATGATTCAGTGTGGAACTCATGTCCCTCTGTAATTGCATTCAAGGCTTTTGCAAGCTTGGGGACCAGGATGTCCTGGAGCTGTTTATAGTAGTCCAGGGTTAGCCCGTCCGGCCCCGGTGCGTGCCCTGTTTTTGTTGTTTTAATGGCTGTTCTTAATTCGTCTTTGGCGATAGGCCTGTTGAGTGTTTCTGCATCTGCTGGTGTCACCATTACGGGAAGGTGATGTCGCATGAAGTGTTCCATGCGTTCCCGTTTGGTGCATTCGTATGCCTCATCACCGTGTTTGTGTGTATTGTATAAGGATGTGTAATAAGTAAGAAATTCCTTTGCGATCTTCTCAGGGTGTTGGGTTGTCGTGCCCCCGCGCAATTTCAGTTTGTGGACTTGTGCGGGCTGTTGTTGTCCTCTGAGCATACGCGCGAGTAATTTCCCCCCCCTTATTCGTGTGGAGATAAAAAAATCCTTTGGATCGCCGTAGTTGTCTCGTGTGCCTCTGGAGCAATAGTGTGTGTAGCTGCCTTCTAGCTTCTAGAAGTTCTTTGTAAGTGTTTTCCACTTGGCGCCACTTATGTTGTGTTTCTAGTGTGTGGATCCGGTCGATGAGTTCGGACATGCGCTTGCCTGCTTCTTTTTTATGTTGAGATGCTAGCTGTATGAATGTGCCTCGTATTACGCTCTTGTGTGGTTCCCACACAGTCATGTCCGAGACATCATCCGTCTAGTTGTCAGTAAAGTAGTTTGTGAGTGTTTGGGTTATTTGATCTCTCAGCGGTGCTTAAGTCAGTAGGGTATCGTTGAGTCTCCATGTCCTGTTCGTGGGTCGTGTGAGTGGGGAGTCGACTTCTATGCAGACTTGGCCGTGGTCCGACCATGTCGCTGTGTGGATAGTGGCTTTCTGTAATTTCGCAAGTTTCTTCTTGTATAAACAGATAGTCTATTCTAGAGTATCTTTTGTGCGTGGAAAAGTGGGTAAAGTCCTTGTCCAGTGGATGCATTATCCTCCAGCAGTCGATCAGTTTTTAGGACTTGGTGGATGTGCTTTATTTCTCTTTGTGGGATGCTGCTGTGTCCCGTGGAGGAGTCCATTTGTGGGTCGAGTGTGACATTAAGCTCTCCCCCCAGTATCAGTGTTCCTTCCGTGAAGTCTGCCAGTTTCCGTAGTGTTCCTTTAAGGAACCGAGATTGGTTGTTGTTAGGGACGTAGATCGTGGCTAGTGTGTATCTCCGTTTTCATATCTCCCCCTTGACGAATGCATATCTGCCGTTCTCATCTATGAGTGTGTCCTGTGCTTTGAATTGTAATGAGGCTGCTATCAGGATTGCGACTCCTGCCTTCTTAGCTGTGGGGTGAGTGCTGCAGTAGCTGGTGGGGTAGTGTTTTGTTTCTGAGAGTGGGGGCTGAGCCCTCTTCGAAGTGCGTTTCTTGTAACAGGGCTATAGCTGTTCTCTCTCTCCAAAGTTCCTTTAGGAGATGGGTACGGCGTTCCGGCAGGTTCAGTCCTCGGCAGTTTTGCGTGAGGATTCTCAACGGGTCTGGGCGGTATGCCATCTTGTAGGGGCTTGTCCCTCGGTCGAATGTCTGGCCAGTCGCCGAGTCTCCGCACCTCTCCCTCCCGTTCTCAGTATACGAGAAGCCTCCTCTGGAGTCTTGTGTTCCGGCCGACGCCGCGGCCTCTATGTTAGAGCGGTGAGGGTTTGGGTCCGTCCTCCTTGGGGTGAGTCTTTGCATCTGCTAGCTCCCATTGGGGGACACTCCGCCCAAACCCGTGCCAAGACCTCCAGTCCCATAGTCAAAGTACCTGTGTGTCTGCTTTGTGTCCTTTCTTCCAGTCAGTGGAGTGGTATGGGGCCACTCTTTATTCCAATCACGGCGGCAGTGGTTGGCGGTGGTTTGAGAGCCTAGGGTCTTCAGGGGCGGCCCACCGCCTTCTGTTGGCCGGTTTGTTATTCTTCTGAGTGCGCTGGGCTGGTTTGGGAGTCGTGAGGTGGATTATCTGGCGAGTTCCATCTTCTCCTCCTGGTTTGTCGCTGTGGTAGAGGTTTTGGTTCTATTGGCAGCAGGACCCAGTTTGGTATGGGTGTCGGTGGCAGGTGCAGGCGTTGCAGGAAGAGTGGTACCTCTTCCGGCCATCTGGCTGAGATCCACTCATTGTTGCGTCGTACTTGAATGCTAAATGGGTAGCCCCATTTATACGGTATGTTCCTTTCCCTCAGTAGGGTGGTGATTGGTCTCAGGGCCCGTCTGGCTTCTAAGGTCATCGGTGAGAGATCATTAAAGAGGGAAACTTCTGCGCCTCTATAGTGCCAGTGCACTTTGGGCCTGGCTTTCGCCATAATTAGTTCTTTTAGTGGGAAGGAGTGGAGGCAGCAGATTATGTCTCTAGAAGTCCCCTCTGAGGGCCGAGGTCGAAGGGCCCGGTGCGCCCTGTCATATTTTATACGTGCTGGCGCGTCCTCCTTGAGGATGAGGCGGAACAGTGATGTGAGTATCTCCTCCACATTTTCCCCTTCAGGGGATTCCGGCACCCCTCTTACCCTGATATTATTCCGGCGCCCACGGTTATCCTGATCCTCTAGTTGTCTTCTCATTGCCAGGATCAGGGCTCCTTGCCTTTTCAGGGCTGTATCCGTGGCAGCAGCGTGGGTTTCAGCTGCTTGTAGTTTTTGTTCTGCGGTGTGGATGCGAGTCTCGTGAGCTGCATCGTCCGTTTTCAGGCCTGCTACCTCCAACTTAATTGCTTCGTGCAGGGTAGTGGAGAGGTGTTGCAGGTCGTCCTTTGTTACCATGGACGCCGCTATGCGCTTGAGGTCCGCGCCGATGTCAGCTAGCGTGGTGTGGTCCAGGCTAGCACAGGAGGAGGCTGGTGAGGGTGGCGCCATTTTGGAGGTCGGAGTTCCAGGAGTAGGCCCGGCGGGTGTGTGGAGGTACTCATCCATCGGTCCTGAGTGGGACCCAGGGAAGCTGCTCCTGGGGGTTTGTGGGTGGTTAGCCCCTTTAGTGCATCCCACTAGGGCAGGTATTCTGTGCGGTACGCTGTTTACAATGCTGTTGTGGAGCGGAGCGGTGAAGTTAAGCGGCCATGTCCGCCGGTGTCCAGGCCACACCCCCAGCTGCATTTCATTTTTTTGACATTGAAATTTGCCAGGTTGGTTATGTTGCCTTTGAGAGCGTATGGTAGCCCAGGAATGAGAATTACCCCCATGATGGCATACCATTTGCAAAAGTAGACAACCCAAGGTATTGCAAGTGGGGTATGTCTAGTCTTTCTTAGTAACCACTTAGTCACAAACACTGGCCAAATATGAGGTTTTTGCTTTTTTCACACAAAAACAAATATGAACGCTAACTTTGGCCAGTGTTTGTGACTAAGTGGCTACTAAAAAAGACTAAACATACCCCACTTTCAATACCTTGGGTTGTCTACTTTTTCAAATAGTATGCCATTATGGGGGTAATTCTCATTCCTGGGCTACCACACCGTCTCAAAGGTAACATTACTAATCTGGCAAATTTCAATTTGAAAATGGAACGTTCTATATTTGACCCTGTAACTTTCCAAAACACCATAAAACCTGTTAATGGGGGGTACTGTTGTACTTGTGAGACATCGCTGATTACAAATATGTGCATTTTTTTGCAGTAAAACCTAATAGTATTATGACATTCACAGCTAAAATGTCAGACAGAAATAAAAATTTTAAAAAAAATCTTATTTTCTCACATTTTTTTAAATTTTATTCATAATAAATTACGTTCCATATATGAATAGTTAATGATAAATTAAAGCCCTGTTTCTCCTGAACAAAATTGTATATAATAAGTGTGGGTGCACTTAATGTGACAGCGGTGAATTACGGATGAACAGACATATAGCGCAAATTCCAGTTTTTGTTTGCATTTTGTTTTGATCAGAATGTGCACTATTGACTACGTCCTTAAGGGGTTAATGCTTAAAAGAAATAAAAAATTTATGTTACACTATTACACAATGTGTTTTAGCAATAGAGGCTTTTTCAGGTGTAAAAAGATTAACTAGCACCTAGGGGTAAAGGCAATTAAAGATGGCTATTTTGGCGCCCAAATTACATCATTTGCCAGATCCTCCTTTATTGGATTAGCGACTGGGAAGCAAAATTTACCCAGTCGTTAGTCTTTTTTTTCATAACCGTGAGCAGCCACTGGCTGCTCGAAGTTTAGTAGACATGGTCCTACTCGCAGGAACTAATCTTCCTTATTTACTAATATTACGTGTTTTTATTTTGTATAGTATAGCTATCTAGAAGACCAAAATTACAAAAAGCTCTTCTAAAATGTAGTCCAAAAACAAATGAAGAAATGGACGAAATTCAGTCCAGATTAACCAAATTATTTCTTTTTATTTTTTGGGGGGGACAAAACGAAAATTTCAGCAGCGCCCAAGTTTACTATGGACCTTATGTGCCAGATGTCAACTCTCCTATTTTCTAATTTTTTTTATATTTTTAATCTACATTTATTTAAACCTTTATGTGATGCAAAATTTATTTTATACACTGTTATACTATATATTCATTAATACTCTATTCTCTAGATTTTTATACATTTCATTTGGAATATGTTGAGTGAGCTATATTGTTTCCTCCTCTATTTGCACCCCTGTTTGTATATGTCAACTATATATAACACAACCATCACTATATGTATAAAACGTATGTGGTTAATGAACTAGAGTGATGTTCTTTTTACTGTTATTGGAATTGTCCGTATGTATGTGATTAATGGTTAAGGTTTTTCCATCTTTTATCTACACCCTTGGATGCAAAGTGATCTCAAAGAATGCTACAAATCAATACTCTGAACCTCTGATCAAGGATTGAATCATCTGCTAAATGACATGTCTGACACCACTCTAAAGTTCAAAATAAGTAATGTATTTAAATTGATTCAGACATAGGATAGCCTATGCCTAAAAGCATATATGCCCATTTATGGTGAATACAGATCTTATGTTATAGAATATAGTTGTTTGCCCAGTCACAAAAATGACAGCGAATATATTCATATATACACACAGTAATCACACTCATTGAGCATACCAGTTTATACCCAATACACACAAACATACACACTATCACCTCTATATATATATATATATATATATATATACACACCCATAGATGTATAAGCAAAAAGCAACTATACAGCATATATGTTAAAGGGACATTTTAATTCTTACTACTGCTTTTTATACAAAATGTTACTACATACTTTTTTTTTTTTTTTAACTTTCCTCTATACCTAGTATGTCCGAGGTAATCCTATGTACTTACCCAAATGCCGCCGTTCCCCCGCTGGTGATCGGTCTTCTTCTCCACAGCGGGGACTGTCTGACAGCCCAGAAAGTCCCCCCTCTGCAAATTTGGCCCCCGCGAGCCATGTGATTGTTTTGAAAGAGCGGTCACATGGCCGCAATAGGCGTCCAGGTATCTGCCTGAACTGACAGGCCGTCCCTCTGCTAGTAAAAAAAGTTAATTTTAAAAATGTGTGTATGTATGCGTTTTTTGTTTTTTTTAAATACTTTTTTCACTGCAGGGGGACTGACTGCCTGTCAGTTCAGGCAGATACCTGGATGCCTATTGCGGCCATGTGACCGCTCTTTCAATGATCACATGGCCCGCAGGGGCCTAATTTGCAGAGGGGGGAACTGTCTGGGCTTTCATAGTATATATCATAGACATAGAATACATAGATGCCGCACGTCTATGGCATTGCGTCTTCTTGGACTGGGTGTCTCTCTACTGAAGCTATTAAAGAACAATTGGAAAGTCCATCTCACAAAAGGTAAGTGAAGGACTTGGGGCACTTATAGTCCTTAATACTCCTATCCCAGCACAGATAGTCCTTAATACCCCTACAGTGTTAATACCCCTACCCAAGCACACAGTCCTTAATACCCCTACCCCAGCACACACAGTCCTTAATACCCCTACCCCAGCACACACAGTGTTAATACCCCTACCCCAGCACACATAGTCCTTAACACCCCTACCCCAGCACACACAGTGTTAATACCCCTACCCCAGCACACTATGTGTATTAACTATGTGTGCTGGGGTAGGGGTATTAAGGATTGTGTGTGCTGGGGTAGGGGTATTAAGGACTATGTGTGCTGGTGTAGGGGTATTAAGGACTATGTGTGTTGGGGTAGGCTGGGGTAGGGGTAGTAAGGACTATAAGAGCCCCAAGTCCTTCACTTACCTTTTGTGAGATGGACTTTCCTAGTGTTCTTCAATAGCTTCAGTAGAGCAGTCCAAGATGGCGCCCGCATTTCTCGATGCTCAGCACGCAATGCGACGTCTAGGTATTCTATGTCTATGGTATACATCATAGTGTGTGTGTATGTATGTATGTATGTGTGTGTGTGTATATGTGTATATATATATATATATATTATTCTTATATATAATGTCAGACTAAGACTAAGTGTGTTTCTTTATTAATATATACATATATTAATATAAAAATACACTTAGAGTAAAATTATGTTTGTGTGTGTGTATAATAAATACATAAATATATAGAATTATAATAATTAAAAATAATTTTAAAAATGATATGTGTGCGTGTATATAGTATATGAAACAAAGACGGCTGCACTCACCTGAACATGCATACATTATAGAGTGCTGCTGGGGCCAAAATATACAAAATACACTCACTTATTCACTAAACAATTATTTTAAATCTTACAGATTGTAGTAGTTTTATTTAAAAACACCTCACCTATCAAAATACACTTAGAATGAAAATATATATATATATATATATATATATATATCTATGTCTATGTATGTGTGTATATATATATATATATATATATATATGTGTGTGTGTGTATATATATATATATATATATATGTGTATATATAAATAACCAAAAATAATACGAAGTATACATATGTCCATATACATAATTACATATACAATTTCATAAATATATACGTAGAATTAAAATATATAAATATGTGTATATATATTTAAATTCAACGTGCATATTTATGTAATATTTTTACATAATTAAGTCATTTTATTGATTGCAATTTGGGGGACCTGCCTGACAACCCAGGCCAAAAGTTTGGAGAATTTAATTTGCTAGCACTATATTTTAACCCTGTAACTTTCCAAGACACCTTAAAACCTGTACATGGGGGGTACTGTTTTACTCAATAGACTTCGCTGAACACAAATATTAGTGTTTAAAAACAGTAAAACATATCACAGCGATGATATTGTCAGTGAAGGTGATGATTTGTGAATTTTTCACACACAAACAGCACTTTCACTGATATAATTGTTGTGATACGTTTTACTGTTTTGAAACACTAATATTTGTGTTCATCAAAGCCTCCCAAGCATAACAGTACCCCCCATGTTCAGGTTTTATAGTGTTTTTTGTGTGTGTTACAGGGTCATATATTGGGCTCCATTTTACACCATTACACAAATATAAATGCTAACTTTGGCCAGTGTTTTGTGACTACTAAAAAAGACTGGACATACCCCATATTGAATACCCTGGGTTGTCTACGTTAAAAAAATATGTACATGTGAAGTGTGATTTAGAGATTTATGACAGATAGCAGTGTTACAATGTCACTATTGATAAATTTTAAAAATATATATTTCGAAACAGCAATGTCCTACTTGTCCTTATAGCCCTATAACTTGCAAAAAAACAACAACTAAGAACAGTTTAACATTGGGTATTTCTAAACTCAGGACAAAGTTTAGAATCTATTCAGCATGGGTGTTTTTTGGTGGTTGTAGATGCGTAACAGATTTTGGGAGTCAAAGTTAGAAAGTGTGTTTTTTATATATATATGATATGATATATGATTAAAATAATGGAATCCTTGGAAAGACCATTTAATGGCGAGAAACTGTATATAATATGTGG